GACTTCTCACCTCTCATTTTGCATTTGTTTTTTTAGGATATATGTAACAACTCACACAATATTATCTACTTTTAATTCCTCCGAATAAGAGACTTCTCAAGGGTCACCCATCTTGGTACTACTCCAGGTTAAGCATGCTTAACTTTTAGAGTTTTGATAGGTTCACTAATCCAGATTAAACACGCTTAACTCTAGAATTTTGGTAGGTTCACGGCTATCACTGTAGCGTAGTCAGAAATTTCCTTATGTGGGGGCAATCTTTAATAGCAATAAAATATATATATATATATATATATATAATTTAAACCAAAACAATATATGTAAAATTTAAAACATTGATTCATAATATTTCTATTTAGTACATTCAATTTTTCAGATTATTATTACTGTTTTAAAATTGAGTTCATGCAATTAAATATACTAAAAAAAAAAATCATATTAAATAAATCAATAATAAGATATGAAAAAGAAAAAAACACAATTACCTAAGTGTCATAATATATCACATATGTAAAAATAATTTTTAAAAAAAATCCATGATAACCAAATCCAACCTTGTAAGTTATAACCAGATAACCTAAGTGAATATGTGATTTCATTGATTTGGGTTGCAAATTAAAAAAAAAAAATCGATCGAAGTCTTATTTAGAGAATAATAATTAGTAACACAATTACACAAACTAAATTTTGAAAGACTTACAAGTCCTAAAATAATTTTGATTGTAATAACTAATAATTTTTCTAATTAAAATTATAATATCAAAGAACTATAACTCCTAAAATAATTTTGATTACCTATCTACCGCATTGCAGTACAACTGACTGAGTCTTGTTTATTGGTAAATGGTTGCTCCGCTTGCTTTGTTTGGATTGTGGAAAATATTGAAAACTAAAGATATGATGGAAACAATCCATTTGTTTGTGGTAAAGTCGAAAGTGTAATAGAATCTCTTGATGAAAGTGGGAAAGAATATAGTATTTTGGAAAAGTGGAAAAAAATATCATATTTTATGGGAAAGTGATAAATTGATAGATATATTATATATATTTACAATTGTATTATCATTATTTTTTTTTGGAGTAAAACTGGACTTTTGGTTATATATATATAGTATATATATGTGCACTGTCAAATTTTATAGGAGACAATTATACAAATATAAAAATCTTTTCATTTAAAATTTAAAAATATTAAAAGTTCAGTAGGGGCAGTTGCCTCCACTTGTCCCTCTATGGCTACGCCACTGATCACGGCTTAACTCTGGAGTTTTGGTGGGTTTACGGTCATCATGACTTTAAAACGCGTTGTGTGCTGAATCTATATACTCCATCCGTCCCATTTTACATGTTGGTTTGCCCCATCCACACCTAGACGATGTGTGATTGTACACCTGTAACTCGCCGAGTGTGGTAGCCTACTAGTGCCACCTACACACGCTCACACATATTTGCTTGCAAGGTCACCACAATCACTCTCCATTTGGGCGCATTGGGGTCCAATGTCCTCGTTGGCCACACTTCCGGCCGGGTTAGGCTCTGATACCATTTGTAACAACCCTCACCTTAACCAGACATAATATTGTTCGTTTTTTGCTCCCTCGGACCAGAGATTTCCCAGGGGGTCACCCATTCTGGTACTACTCCAGGTGGGTTCACAGTCATCACGGATTTAAAACGTGTTGTGTCATAGAAAGGTGTTGAATTTACATATAACACATGCTTCATCCACACCTAAGGGATGTGGGATTGTGCACCTATAACTCTCCCAATGTGATAGCTTACTGGTGCCACTTGCATACGCTCATACACACCGGGCCACAAGGTCGCCATGAGAACGCTAAAATGTATAACAAGGTATATATATATTGCCAAGGTAAAGGGTTTGTATTAATCCCCTTGTTACTTCTCTGGCCTTTTGAGGTTTTCCATAAAAAGAAAACAGAGGAGAAAAAAGATAATTGGATGGATCAGTTATAGATTACAATATTATAGATAGTGATAAATTAGATTTAATGGTAAAAATAAAGATTAAATACCAAAAAACTCCCTCATAATATACAAAATGTACAATTACCCTTCTATTGTTTAGAAAACCCCTTTACTTTTTTCAATTTATGCAAATAAGGACCAATCATAATTTTGGCAATAAAATTACTAAATTAACTTTACTTTATCATCAACAAAAAAATGAAAAAATATCTCAATTCTCTTCGTCTCTCTCTTCGATGTATCTCTTTTCAATCTCAATTCTCATGTCTCACAATCTTTCCTGTATAGGTACACTTTAGTCACGCACCCACCAACCTTAATAAACCCAACTATTTATAAAAGAATGAGACAATACTGCTTAATTAGTAAGGAATAACATGTTGTATTCGTGCACAAAGTTAAATTTTAAAGAAGGAATATGTAAGTGTAAAAATTTGTAGATAAAAACTCAACAAGTCCAAACAAATGAAAATACAAGAAGTAAATTTCTATCTAATTTTCCCTCAATTTTTTATATATCCTTTTTTTTTTAAATGATTTCTATCTATATTTATACTGAAAATTTGTAACTGGTTCGTAATTTTTTCTATTGATCTTCTTGAAAAGATTGGAATTGAATTGCTGAATTTTTGGAGCTGGTCAAGCAAATTCTTCCTAGTTGTTGTCTCTAGCTTTCTGCTAATACTATAAAATTTCTTGGGACTTGCTAAACAGGGTGCTCTATTTTAGAGAGAGACACTATCAATGACACAAGAAATTTTAGAGAGAGGAAAAAAATTTAGAGAGATATTATATTTTCTTATAGAAGGAGAATTCTAGGAATGGAAGGAAAAAAGAATATTTGCAAGAAAGATCATATTTATATACATATATAAGTAAAAAAAAAAAAAAATTAAAAATGATATAAAGATGACAGAATCTCACTTGACAAACCAAAATAAAATATAGTATCATAAAAAAAAAAAAAATGTCTCTTGGAAACTAATTGCTAAACAACTTTTAGAGAGAAAAAAAATAATATTAGAGATATAGATTTTTTTGGATAGTCCTTCAAGTATATCCAGATAAACTTATTCACTGTTTATATATATAAAAAGAGCAGTGATACATCTTTCGACTCCAATCACCTCCAGATAAACTTATTCACTGTTCATATATATAAAAAGAGCAGTGATACATTTATTCACTGTTCATATATATAAAAAGAGCAGTGATACATCTTTCGACTCCAATCACCGAAAAATCCTCCGAATCAGACTTGGCATGCCATGACATCCCATAAATCATGCACACACCTTTACTTTCTCTTTCTGAAGACCCAACTGAAAAAAAAAAAAAAAAAACGTCATCTCTTTCTCAATTTATTTTTCAAAGTTTAGATCTAAAAACTTCTGTCTTTTAGATTTTTGAGTTTGTTTGTATTACATAGTGATAGTAAATGTGAGGAATCCGATTGAAAATTTGATGGTGGTAGTGGTTGAAGATGATAAATGGGTTAGAGAGAGAGAGAGGCGAGACAAATGGGTTTATAGAGAAGAAAGGTATAGGCGATTCACTGCCGCCAAACTGGGAGCCAGAGGAAGGTGCAGGGGCGTGGAACAGAAAGTCGATGCCGGTGGACAAAGACGGAAGAAATAGAAAAAACACCAGCGAAGGTGAAGCAGCGGGACTGAACCGTAACGCCGGCGAACAAGGATCTCAGATGAGGGTGACGGCGGAGATGGACAGCCAGTAATAAGATGAACACCAGTAATTAAACAACCAAAATATCAGTAGTAATAAAATATGTGTATATTTTGAGTAATCTCCTCCCACCCGAAATACACAGAGAGGGTATGAGAAAGAGAAGGATTAGAGATCATAACTATTGTACTCCAATCATTATCCAATTAAGAATTTCATCTCTCTGTTGCTTGGAGGCGCGCCGCCGGAAGTCAGTCCAGAGCTTTAGTCATTACCGAAACAGAATGGACCCTCGGATGGAAGGCACCGAGTGAAGAAATGAAGAACAATGGAAGAAACAGAGGGAGAGAGAGAGAGGGGAATTGTGGAGAGAGAATGAGAGGGAGAAAGAGCCATGTGTTTTTGGGTTCGTGGCCTATCCACGTTGGAATCGGAAGATATGTCGGTAGATTAGGTCGGAAGTTGTATTATTTTTCATATAAAAATATTTATTTAGTACACTTTTGTTTTTTACACAATTTTTATACAGCGAGGGTGTTTAAAATTATGTCTTTTCTTCTTTTATAACCAACACGATAAGGCTAATAAAATATTTTTCGCGATTATTTGCCTGAATAAGTTAGAGTTCGGTTGGTTAAAAGTTAAGCGTGTTCATTAAATATATTAGTTGAGCTGGAAGGTAATTTCGTTAATAAAGAATCAAACTTGAACAATGCTAATCTCGTGGACAAGTTCAATACTTAAAAGCCCATTATACAACTTTTCACATTTATTCCGTGTGCCTAATTAGTTATTTAATTAATTGCCATTAACTCAACAGCCCATTAGACAGTTTCACTTGGATAATTAGAACAAGTAAAAGGGTAAGATTGGAAAACGGAAATTACACATTATAGTTACCAGAGCAATTCTTTCACATTAGAAATTCTCGCTTGGATCACACAAGAGTGTACTAAAATTGGAATTATTATCTGGTCGACTCTTTTTAAGAGTCCACTCTAATTACAAGAATGGACTAGTATATTAAAAATAAACAAACTCTCCAATTAAGAGAATTGGACCAAAAACGTATTAATATATTAAGATAATTTGAACATTTTGATCGAAGTTAAAATCCAAAGAGAGTCCAAAACCACATTATGAAGCTAACTCATTTCATGAAAAAGAATATATATAGAATGCTATAGAATCAAACCGTGATTATTGATGTATAACAGTTAATTAAACATGATATTGTCAATTAATTTGATAATTATTGATAATTAAGTTAGGAATTAAGTAAAATGACTTTTGTCACCCTAAATGGTGGCTAAAAGACATATATAGGGTCACTGTGACAAGCAAGGCACACTAGGTGAAGTAGAAGAAGATTTTCCATTGGCATTCTTGCAAGAGGCAAGAATCTTGGACCCTTCAATGGCTGGGGTTATGTCTATTTGCTGCATTTCAATGTGGCTGCAACCTACTATCTTGCTGCAATCCAATTTAATAGCTTCCGTGGTAGCCGAAGATCCGCGCACGTTCCGATAACTCACATGACTCACCTGTACTGCCGTCCCCTACAAAAGTATATATATACATTGTTAAAATAATGGTAGAGAACTCGACAATTAGACAAATTCGACCGATGAAATCATGTTGTCATTATTCAAATTTTGTTGACTCACCTTCTCCTTTTCGCAATGGTCTCCACCATTACAGTAGTTTTGGTTGATGATAATAGGGTTTTCGACTTCGGTGAGTGTAATATCTTCGAAGTAGATATTTTTGGCGTAACCGTCTCCACCCTTGCAAAATAAAGAAGACATGTCAAATGAGATTGTGAGAGTGTAATTATATATATATATATATGTGTGTGTGTGTTTATAAGAATTCTCTGTATTAATTAATTTCTTTTATGCTAATTAGCTAGATTTAAGTATATATCATTACCGGCCATGTCTTTATTCTTGCTCCATTCTGAGTTCGAGTGAAGCTACAATTACGAACATATACATCTTGTACATAATCAAGAGCTCCATTTCGACCTAGGCTTCCCACACTGCACGCATATGCATAATTTTTCATCACGAATTTGAAAAATTAAATATGTATAATTTTTTTACAATATATATATTTATATGAGTGTTATTCTATTCAAATTAAAAAAGATTAGAAAATGAAAAAAAAAAACACAGAAGGTGGAGTTTTAACTACCTTATACCATGACCCGGACCACAATCTACACCTATAATAGTGATGTTAAGGGAGCCACCATTCAAGGCCACACAATCATCACCTGTTATTGTTTAGAGAAATTGTAAGAAATTAAAACAGTGAAATATATATCTATATATATATATATAGTAAAACAATAATAATTCTTAGCAAATTAAAATTACCGGTTGCAATGGTAGAATTTTGAATGAGAACTTGGGTTGAGGATGCGATGTCAATTCCATCGGTGTTGGGGCTGCTTTCAGGTGCTGATATATTGAGATTAGTGAGAGTTACACCTTTGCACCCATTTATGGCTATATGATTCCTTGGGCTGTTAATGTGTTTCAGTCCATTCAGTCGAAGCCCATTACAATTGTCGAAGTATACACCCTGCAAAATTATATATCATATATATTAAATAACACAAATAAGTTTGTAGCTTACACATTTTAATATAAAATTAAAAACTCAAAATATATATGTATAAAAACACATATATATGTATATGTACGTATGTATAATATAAGACATCTTACCGTTGGTCGGACACAGTCCGCGTTAGTCACCTGAAAAAATGACAATAGTTACATTATTATCACACTGAGCATAGATATATATTCATATATATATATATATATATGAATGCATGAATATCATAATGTAGTGTACGTACTTTGGAGTTGTCAAAAATGGTATTGGGATCTATAAAAACTTTCCACCAGGGCTCACCCCGGCCATTGATCACTCCTGGTCCATTGATGATGAGACCATTCACATCTGAGAAGAAAAGCCAACTATCAGCTTCACAGTTTCTCCACTCGTGAATACTTTTTGGCGCCAAAATTGTCCCTAAAACCTGTATATATACATAATAAAAAAAATAAAAAAAAAAATCAAAATGTTTTAAGTTTCGTTGTGTTGTGTTGTGGAGGAAATTAAAATGCCAATATGCTAGTGATGATGGAAATAAAATTTCAATTTGGAATCCATAACACACACACACACGCTAAGATGTCTCTCTCTCTCACACACACACATTACCTGAATACGAACTGAAGGAGATTTGCATGGACCCTGGAACTTCACAGGTCTCAGCAAGAATGTCTTTCCCTTTGGTATCGTCATGGTTGGGGTGCCTCCTTCAACATGTCCACATAAAGCTCCCCAAGCTTGTAGAAAAGCCTTTAACAAGCACATACTAAGACTTTAGAATAACAATAATTCAGGCAAATAAATAATAGGTCTATTATTTTTTCCTCTTTTATAAAATAATGATAATAATAATAATAATTAAAAAAGGAATGATTTAGGCACCCAAAAAAATAGAAAAATACATATATGCCACACTGAAATGAAGGATTGGAGTATTTACCTTAGTGTCATCCTTTAGTCCATCTCCAGTGGCACCATAACTCATCACATTAAAAGTAGCAGCCAAGCAGCTATCGAGACCAAGTGAAGCAATGATAAAGACCAAAAATACGTGAAGTAGACCCTACATAAGAAATAGATTTCAAGTGTTCATACACAATATATATACACATATATGCACATATTGGCGGTAACAATGGTGATTGCCACCATTTCACGAGGCTCGGAGTAAACAATTTGTGAAATGTGTATGAATATTAAACAATTTGTGAAATGTGTATGAATATTTACTTCATTCGAAGGATAAAAGAAGGAGCTTACCATTGTATTCACACAACCAACTGACAAGCAAAAAAAACCAAAATTCTAAGATTCATACCCTCTCTCGTGTCCTTTATATTAAGACATTTTGGAGTCTGATCAATTACCTAACGGAAAAGAAAAATGCTATATTTCATGAATTTTATTTGGTTATTTTGTATGTTTTAAAAGTAATTTTATTAATATAGAAAAGAACTTAATATAGAAATGAGAGAAAATTAACAAAATTTATAATTATAAAATCCAAACCCTGATATTTCTTATCTAATTCATTAGAAATTTCTTATTTAAGGAATAATTTAAGAGGATTCATATATCCGATTATAGCACAATTTGCAAATTTGAAATTTCTTCTATAATTTGATTGTAAGGATATAAGTACATTTGACTAACAATTTGACACTTTTTATAAGACAGATGGAGTACATTTTATTAATATTAGTTAAATGAGTCAACATTTATATGTTTCAATATAATAACAAGATGTTATTTACGTGACAAGTAATTTTATTGATTGGTTAATTTTTTTGTTGGTTAATTAATTGGTCATATTGTAGCATGATTCGCGTGCCCAAATTCGCCCAACGACGCATCAATTGAATTTTCATAAAGTTACTAGACAAAACAAAGAAGAAATGGTATGTCGATGAGATAAAACATAGATGAATATATAGTGATATCACTATATATTCATCTATGTGGGAGACCACCCCACTTTTCTTCAACTGTTCTATATTTACCTTTTTCTTTTAAAAGAAATGACAAGAATGTCTTTGAATTCATTAATACACTATCCCTCAATCTATAATGCTAGGTTTGGTGTCCATTCCAACCATTCATTTGTTTGGTGTGCAGGAATGAAATTGAATGACCATTCCAATGAAATAAAAATTCATTCCAGAGAATGAAAATCCATTCCATTACTAAACTTATGGAATGGCCATTCCATTCCATGGTAAGATTAAAGTTTTTTGTAATATTCCTAATAAGCCCTTCATCACATTCCAATAAGGCAAAATCTTTCACATTCTATTTTTCACATTTGTCAAGATTCTTTATTAGACGTGGTAAAGGTATACTCTTTCACCTTCTCTCTCTTCTGAATATACCCAAACCTGCTATTGATAAAAAGTTATAGGACCTTCAACCAAATTGTAGGTATTAATCTCTTTATCTTCTTCTTTTTTTTTTTTTTTTTTTTTTTTTTTTTTTTTTTTTTTTTGATAAGTATGTATTAATTTCTTTATTTTCTGAGTATATTACTTTTTTTATTTTTATTATTTTTTTATTTATGTTTTTATTTTTTTGTATCTTTATGTTTAAACGTTTGTGCGATTTCTCCATCTTTCTCTCTTCTAATATTTACGTAATTAATAATCACATAAAATAAAAATTAATAATCATCTCGAGCCAAAAGTGGACTTATTTGACTTTTTGACCTTTGTCAAGTTCATCATTAGATGATTAACTAGAATTTTCAAGAAATCTACAAAAAAAAAAATTTGAATGGAAAATCTAGCAAAATACCTATTGGCCTACGACTTCAGTGCTCTAGTGGTTGATTTATTAAGATTAATATCTCATTAAAAATAATATTTAGATATTTTTCTTTTTGCAGTCATTTATTAAGATTAATATCTCATTAAAAATAATATTTTATTTTATTTTAAAATTTTTCTTTATTTTTTTCAATAGTAGTACTGGGCATCTTCTAATATTCAATAATTCATCGTCAGAATTAAAAAGTAATGTAAACCAATGAATATGACATTTTTGAGAAAAATCATTCCATTCCAAATTTAATGATAGTCAACCAAACAATAGAATGGTAATAATCATTGCATTCCATAACGATTCAACATGTCACACCAAACATTATAATGGTAATACTCATTCCATTCCATTCTTATTCTCATTCCATTCCAAGTAGCATTCCATTCCATTCCCGCACACCAAATGTAGCCTAATGTCATAACTAATACAACTTTAACCATTTTTTTTTTTACTATTTTTTTTTCCCTTTCTATTTGTTTTTTTCAGAGGTCCTCTCAAAGAAAATAATTTATTCTATACTAAAAATTTATTTTTTGACCGCCAAAAGAAATAATTTATTCCATAATGACTTTTTTTTTTTTTTTTTCCCATCTCATAGAGATAATTTTTTTTTTATATATATAATTTTTTACGAGTCCTATCAAAAGAAATAATTTATTGGATAAAAATAACCCTTTTTTGTTTTTTGGTCTTATTAAAAGAGATAATTTATTCAATACAAATAAAAAAAATTTAATCCTCTTCTTTTCATACTTTTCTTTTCTTTTCTTTTTTTTTTTTTTTTTTTTTTTTTTTTTTTTTTTTTTTTTTTTTGGGATCTTGACAAAAAATATAATTTCTTCAATAAATATATTTTTTTTGGGTTTTTTTTTTCATGTCAAAAGAGATAATTTTTTTAATGGTTGTTTTTTATTTTTTTCGTCTGGCCAAAAGAGTTAATTTATTTAATATAAATTTTTATTTCTTGGTCCCATAAATTTTTTTTTTATTCAATTAATTTTTTGTCTTGTCAAAAGCTACCTAAAATAATATTTTAAAGATTAGACATAAGGAGAAGAAATCTAAAAGGACAGTTTTGTTATTTAAAAAGTAATAATTATTTACTTGTAAAGTACGGATTAAAATTGTCATTTCATTTAATAATTATAGTGCAAATGTTGAAAAGTAGAATGTGGATATCGCTTCCCTATATATATAATTTTTTTTCTTGAAATGTGAATATAACAAAAGTTGTTCCTATGTGTATTGGTTAAACTAATTAGGAGAGATGTCAATGGGGGCAAGTTTGAAAATTGAAGAGCTTTGGTGAAAACTTGTATGGAATTTCTTTTACCAAAAAAAATATATATTATCCATCAAAAAGATCTCATGAAAGGAAATGAAATTTTAAATATTCTAAAACTACCAAAAAAAGAAAAACCCTATCAAGGACAGACCACGTGCCCTAAATTGGTGGAGTAAAAGTTTCCAATTAAGGGCACATCAGCATTTCTTTTGGGTTCCTAGTCCCACATACTGTAATTACATAACTCTTATGTGTTTTTGTTTCTGCCGCATGGCCCCATGGGGCTTCCTTTGGGCTACCGCTGTGTCTGGTTTTAATTTTCCAAAAAAACAGAGAAAAGAAATATAATTACTATTTCCCGCGAATATCAGTTTCATTTAAATCATTTACTTACCACATCTCATGGTGAAAAGCATTACTTGAACAGAGTTACTTTTCCTTCGTTTTATGGTGTTTGTATAGTTATGGGCTTGAAAATGAATACGGATTCCCTACAGGGCATTACTGTATTTGATGAGAATGTAATATATTTACATTATACGTTCTAATCCTCAATTTAATTTAACCTTATATCTTATATTTTATGAGACATTAGGAACAAATGACTTATTCAACTTGAATTAACCGATTGAAATCATCCTCAATTTAATCTTGTTGACTATAAGTAATTTTATTTTTTTTAACCTACTTTCATGCTCTGTTTGTTTCGACCTAAAATATATATATATATTTTTTCAAGATAAATTATTTTTTATTTTTTCTTTATTATTGTTTGGCAAAGATTTACTATGCTTGCTGAAAATTGATGAATAAATTATTTTTGTTAAATTTTAATATTTTTTTTATTCATAAATATTTTACCACAACCAAATAACAGAAAATAAAAAAATATATTTTTAAAAATATTTTAACGGAGCCTCAGTGCACCAAATATTTTTCCTCAATCTTGGACTCTTTTTCAAATTTAGAGGTGAAATTTAGGTGATTTTCCCTCTTATAGAATTATTTTTAATAGATAATAATAAATAATTTAAAAGTCGAATATGTTCTAACAATGCTATATAAGTAGTCGGTGCTTATTTTGCATAATTTTTTTCGCATTTTCTTATTTACATAATTTTAGTTAGTTATGTTTGATACCAGTACTTGTTTTTAATTCATAAATCTTCTATATATCATAGTGTTTCATAATTTTGTAAAGTATCAATATTATTTTCGTTATTTATTTTGAATGAGAACTTTTAATAGAATTGTTTATTACTTTAATTTTTACCAAATAAGAAATAAAAAAATGGATAAAGAATAGTTTTATCTCTTCTCTCATCCAATGGTTTTCAGATTTACGTATTTTCTAGCGGTTCCAAACGACTTAAACCAACATTTCTTTCCTCTCTCTCTCTATCTCTCTCTCCCCAATGGCGATATGCCCATGCTCTGTACCGACGAACTCCTTCATAATTACACAAAAACCAGGTCTCTATCTCACACACACATAGATGTTCAATTCCATTAATTTATTTTTCCAGTACTCTTGAGTTTGTAAATTTGGTTTTCAGGGATTTTCATAATCAGTTCTGGCAATCAGAAGCTTCTTGGGACGGTTAAGTTTTGCTCTGTCAGAGCTAAGGTTAGTGTTCACTCCCTTCAGTAAGCTTCACTTAAATTTGAACTATGTTGTTTTGCAGTTCACTCTATCTGTTTGTCAATATGCCCAATTGAATCAATAACCATATATATATATATATATATTGCTTTGTAATGACTCTGTATTTTTCATATCATGGTAGTTTGAACTTCAACTATTTTCTTATGTCTTGTATTTCAAATTTTAATTTTTTATTTATTTTTATTAATAGGCAGTGGAAAGTGACCAGGGTACAAAACCAAATAGTGTCATTTGTGCCGATTGCGATGGAAACGGTAAGTTAGACTTTTATGAGATTATGGTAGTGTTTGTTCTATTGAATTTGACTTCCTGTGGAAAGTATTTCATGTAATTTCTCACATTGTTTTAAATGGTTTCCTTTTTCAAGCATTTGAGGCATTTCCCTCTTATGCCTTCTTTGTTTTCGAGAGCTAACACACCCCAGTGGCTGGAGATAGCTAATTCTCTATGTCAATTGTCCAAAGCTCCATTTGGTTGCTTTAAGGGAATAGAAGAATAAAGTGTTGCTGGTGAGGGGTTGGAGGCACAAAATATTGTTTTCTTTCATTAATTCTTAGTAGCTTTATATTTATAAACCAGCGGAGCTAACCCGAGCAGTGGTTTTCTCAAGCCTGTCTTAGAAATTTAAGGAGTTTTAAATTATGATACAGCTTGTTTATCTATTTCTCAAGCCCTCTGATTGAACTGATAATATAATGCTTATTAGCTTATTAACCCCGAGTTTAAAATGATCTCAATAAATTAATGACCTTCGATACGTGATCAAGCTTGGGTAACTTACCTCGCGAACCAGTCACGAATGAGTCTATAACTGAGCTGAGCATTAGACTTGCTCAACTAGTTTGCTTCTTTATAGGATCCTATTTTTAAGCATTTCGATCATTCTTTGTATTTAGCAAATGGGACAGAGAGAAAAGAATATGTTCCTTATTCGGAGAAATTAAGCTGGTTGTAGGCACTTTTGTGATCTTATTTTATGCTCAACTCTGAAGACCTTTGCCTGGTTCAGCTGTTAAACGCTGCACGTGTTCAAGTTTCAGAGCATCCATTTTGTGGAATTCCAATTGTTAGGTCTGTCTTTGACGGGGATCCTTTGAAGCTAATTGCTTGAGGTTGTTTTTATCTTCTAAGCCGATTAGTTAAATTTTTACATATAAATAAATTGACTGCTCATTTTGTTACAATAGAGTATATCATATTGTCACCACTAGCGCTCCAATAACTATCACAACTAATTGATGAACACTAGAATAATATTCTGTAAAAAGCTCTTGGGATTACTTTAAAATGCGACAACAAATTCAATTTTTTGGGGTTAACAGAATCTGAATATGTGCTGGCTCTTATGGATCTATAGTTTGCTGTCAAATTTCCAGGTGCAGTTCTGTGCTCACAATGCAAAGGAAGTGGGGTGAACTCTGTCGATTTTTTCAATGGACAATTTAAAGCTGGTGACTCATGTTGGCTTTGCGGGTATACACTTTAATTCATAATTTTGTATTGCATTATGTTCATCATTGCTAATATAATCACGTCCATTAGCAACCTTCTTGTCGTATCACATAAACTCATTATTTGGATTGCGAGGAATATTGACTTCCAAAAGATAAGTTGTGTACATGGGTATATTAAATAGGGAAAAGCTAGACAACTTTAGCTACGTCTCTTGTTGTGTTAATCTGCTTCTTAGAATCGTATTAGTGGCTCACATTTCGACTTGAATAGCAGAATTTTTTGAGGTACCCATTAATCACGTCTTTTTCTTTGCAGAGGAAAGAAGGATATGTTGTGTGGAAATTGCAGCGGTGCTGGATTTCTGGGTGGTTTCATGAACACTTTTGATAGTTGAAAACATATGAGCCTAGATCAAAAGGCTAGAGTGCATGTGCCAAATTTAAAGTATCTGGTTACAGGGTGCCCTTATAGTGTTATTGTGTAGGTAGATGTTTGTCTAGGCATGTTCATGGTGCGCATATGGACATATTAAGAAATCAAATATGTAGGTAAAGTGGCACTAGATAGACAATGATGGCTCTTTGTCCTTTCCATCACATTATTGTGGAAGCACACCAATATATTAAAATTGCAAAATGTGTAATTACTCTATTAGGATTGTAAAATGTACTTTGCACTCTATTTTGAAATGGAACTTGCTCTTGTATATATAAATTTGGCAATGAAATTTGCACAAACTGATATTCAATTACTAGAAATGCAATTTCACTTCAAATTTAAATATGTTTATTGGTGCAATTACCAACTTTCAGATGCTGATAGATTGCTTAGTTTGGTGACTGCAAGAGGCTTTGATGCATCTGAGCTTCTTAAAGCTCTGCATGAACTCACTCATTTGCTTTTGGAGCAAATGGGTAGCCTCAGATTCAGGGCGTAACACATAATAAACATGAGACTCGCCCTGCTCTTCCACCAGCTTCGCTTCTTTCACCCCTTTACTCTTCAAAAACTCTGCATACATAACTCCTCTTTCCTTAAAGAAGTCCAAGCCCGCCACGATAACCACCACTGCAGGAAACTGACTCCACATCGCTGCAGACAGCTCTGCCATCTCAAAGTTGCACCCATAATAATCACGGTTTGATCCTTCCGATAAACTTAGTCTCCACGACATATCATTCATCGCTACATCCCCAGCTGCTCCATCCTCGCTCTCTCTTTTAGTTCTCCTTTCACTTCCAAAATAGGGATGAATCGGTAGCAATCCTTTGATTTTGACATGACAGGCTTTGTCCTGAATTGATCTGATAGCAACCTGGTGAACGATGTTACCTCCAGCGCTGTCCCCTGAGAGGAACACACGAGAAAGGTCAGCTCTTTCCAGCCATGGTTCAGAGCTTACATTGTGACTTAGCCATTCAAGTGAGCTATAGCAATCATCAAAAGCTATGGGAAGCCGGTTTTCTGGTGCAAGGCAGTAGTCTACAGAAAACGCAATGGCTTTGGATGCAACAGATAAATCTCCCAGGAAACAGTGGTACCCAAGCCAAGTGGTTGAGCCAACGCAAAATCCACCACCATGGAAGTAAACAAGAACCGGAAGCTGAGCAACTGATGCTGGGGTGTCAGGAAGGAAGATCCTTGCAGTTATCGGCTTTGATGGATCAAGATCAGATCCTTTGACTTAAATCTCTTCGATGATGATTCAGGGCATGCCGGGGCCAGTTCAAATGCAAACCGTTTGACTGATCCATCAGAGAAGACCTGGATGAGACCCGGTACCTCGGCTACTATGGACATTTCTTGAATAGTGATGATTCTTATGTTGAAATGTTGCACATGATATTGCAGAGATTGTGATGGCTTAAATTGAGGTCTATTTACCTACTGATTAAAATAAGGTGGTTGCTCAAAGAAAAATACTGCTATATTTCTAGAAGTTAATATATGACAATAAGATTGGTTGGTGGATTAATCATGTTAAGTGAGCTGTGGATCTTTGAAATATTCAATCTATTCATCTCTCTTAAAAAAAAAAAAATGAATGAATGAATTTTTCTTTAAGAGATGTTATTTTGTTCAGATCTCTTTTTTTATTCTAATCTCAAACCATGTGCTTTTGTTCTTTTAGTTTATTCGCTTCCAAATGTATGACACAACTTGGTTTATCAAATTGATGGGAGATCTTCTTTTTCTCCCCCCTTTCTCGAGCTTTTAGGATTTCTTTGTAGCTATTTTCTTGAGGTTGTTTTCATCTTCTAAGCCAATTAGTTTAAATTTTATTCTATAATATATATATATATATATATATATATATATTTTAAATAAATTGACTGCTCATTTTCTTACAGTAGTCTCTTATTGTCACCACAGGTGCTCCAAGAACTATAATAGCTAGTTGATGAACACTAGAATAATCTTCTGTTTAATGCTCTTCGGAAATTTTAAAATGCGAAAGCAAATACGTTTCTTTAGGGTTAGCAGAATCTGAATATGTGTTGGCTCTTATGGATCTATAGTTTGCTGTCAAATTTCCAGGTGCAGTTCTGTGCTCACAATGCAAAGGTATGGGGTGAACTCTGTTGATTTTTTCAATGGACAATTTAAAGCTGGTGAATCATGTTGGCTTTGCGGCTATCCACTTCAATTCATAATTTTATATTGTATCAGGTTCATCATTGCTAATAATCACTTCCATTAACATCCTTCTTGTCATATTACATTAACTTATTATTTGTATTACGAGGAATATTGTCTTCCAAGAGTTAAGTTGTGTACATGATATTATACAGGGAAAAGGTGGACAGCTTTAGCTAGGTCTCTTGTATCGTGCTAACCTTATTTTTGAAATCTTATTAGTGACTCACATTTTGGCTTGAGTTGTGGAGCTTTCCGAGGTACCCATTAATCACTTATTTTCCTTTGCAGAGGAAAGAAGGATATGTTGTGTGAAAATTGCAACAGAGCTGGATTTCTGGGTGGTTTTATAAGCACTTTTGATAGTTAAAAACATGGTAGCCTAGATCAAAAGCCTACAGTGGACATGCCAAATTTAAAGTATGTGATTACAGTGTGCTCTTATAATGTTATTGCGTATGTAGATGTCTGTCTATTCATGTTCGTGCTGTACATATGGACGTTTTCAGGATTCAAATATGTAGGTAAATTGGCACTGGGTAAATCTATCTAATTATTGTGGAAGCACGCCCGTTTATGAAAATTGCAAAATATTAAATTACTCTATTAGGATTGCATAGCGTACATTGCTATATATTTTCCAAATGCAAATTGGTCTGGTATAAATAAATTTGGCAACAAATTTGCACGTACTGTTATTCAACTGCTATGCAATTTTACTGCATATATTTCTTGGTGCAATTACTAACTTCTATATGCTGATAGATTTTCCTACTTTGGTGACTGCAAGAGGCCTTGATGGCATTTGAATTTCTAAAACCTCTGTATGAACTCACTCATTTGCTTTTGGAGCAAATGCGTAGCCTCAATTCAGGATGAAGCACATGATATACATGATTTTCACCCTGCTCTTCCACCTGCTTCACTTCTTTCACCCCTTTCTTCTTCAAAAACTCTGCGTACAACACTCCTCTTTCCTTAAAGAAGTCCAAGCCCATCACGTAAACCACCACTGACGGAAACTGATTCCACTCGGCTTCAGACAGCTCTGCCATCTCAAAGTTTCATCCATAATAATCACAATTTGATCCTTCCGGCACACTTAGTCCCCAAAATATATCCTTCATCGCCACAATCCCAGCTGCTCCATCCTCACTCTCTCTTTTAATCCTCTTTTCACTTCCAAAATAGGGATGAATCGGCAGCAATCCTTTGATCTTGACATGACAGGCTTTATCCCGAACTGTTCTGATAGCAACCTGGTGAACGATATTCCCTCCAGCGCTGTCCCCTCAGAGGAACACGTGAGAAAGGTCAGCTCTTTCCAGCCAGGGTTCAGAGCTTACCTTGTGACTTGGCCATTTAAGTGAGCTATATGTCACGGGCCTAGAGATTTGGCGCAGCGGCACGGCCCGTGCGGCACCAAGGCGTTGCTTCAGCTCGCGCAAGCGCCCTGGTCAGCCACCACGACCTGCCCTCCCAAGGATACATGCTGACTGGTTTCGGCCTGCCATGGCCTCGTCAGGGGAACGGCTCCAGCTCCCGACCAGTTTGTGCAGGGATGGCCAACTCCCTTCTTCATAGTCAAGTCCAAGACTAGCGACAAGCACCTCGAACTGAACCGAGTCGACCTGCCTGAACTCTGAAGAGGTACCATCCTGTGGTCCTGCACGCCCCTTCCCTGGAACCATTCCCAGTCAATGAATGTTCTTAGCCAACCAGCATGCGTATCTTCTATGCTCATGGCGTCGTTAGGAATCGGATCGTGACATTCTCCCCCACCCAAATCCTGCGACGCCCTCGTCGCAGTGCGGCGCTGACTCCGCTGCGTCCAACATTCCAAAGCCTGTCTCCTCCAAGTGGTATGCTCGCCTGCCCACTATCGCTTCCTTGTACAACCCCTGGCTGCACTCGCCCAATGATAGGGTTTCGGGCTAAAGGGACGCCCGCTTCTTCGGGACGCAACCCCACGTTATGCCGCCTCCGCGACACCCCGAGCAAACAAGCGCCCTCCGGCTGACTTGATACCCGCCCTTCACAACGGTTTGCACGCCTCTTGAACTTGCAAGAACTTTGGTGCGCGCGGCCCTCCGGCCATCCGATGCGCGCGGCCCTCCGGCTTAAAGGACGCGTCTTCATGGGGAGATGGAGGCTCTCCTCCAACAGCATTGATTACCCACCGACGCTTTTTCAGTGCACCGTCTTCATTCTCAAGACCCCCGGATCGACAAGAGGGCACACCTCTATGCTTTTCCCCAAGTCCTGCTCTGATACCATTTGTCACGGGCCTAGAGATTTGGCGCAGCGGCACGGCCCGTGCGGCACCAAGGCGTTGCTTCAGCTCGCGCAAGCGCCCTGGTCAGCCACCACGACCTGCCCTCCCAAGGATACATGCTGACTGGTTTCGGCCTGCCATGGCCTCGTCAGGGGAACGGCTCCAGCTCCCGACCAGTTTGTGCAAGGATGGCCAACTCCCTTCTTCATAGTCAAGTCCAAGACTAGCGACAAGCACCTCGAACTGAACCGAGTCGACCTGCCTGAACTCTGAAGAGGTACCATCCTGTGGTCCTGCACGCCCCTTCCCTGGAACCATTCCCAGTCAATGAATGTTCTTAGCCAACCAGCATGCGTATCTTCTATGCTCATGGCGTCGTTAGGAATCGGATCGTGACATATAGCTATCATTAAAAGCTATGGGAAGCCAGTTTTCTGGTGCAAGGTGGTAGTCCACAGAAAGCAGAATTGCTTTGGATAGATGTCCCAGGAAAGAGTGGTACCCAAAAGCAGTGGTTGTGCCAATGCAAAATCCACCACCTTGGAAGTAAACAAGAACCGGAAGCTGAGCAACTGATGTAGGGGTGTCGGGGAGGAAGATCCTAGCAGTTATAGGCTTTGATGGATCAATAATCACATCCTTTGACTTATATCCCCTAGACGATGATACAAGGCATGCCGGGGCTAGTTCAGGTGCAAAGCGTTTGATTGACCCGTCAGAGAAGGCCTGAATGAAACCCGGTACCTCGGCTACTATGGAAATTTTCTTAAAATGGGAGTGGTAATGATTCTGATTGTGAAGT